TTCTGTTTCTCTTCAAGTTTGTTCTTTGACCAAATGATGAAAAAGGTCTAGTTAACAAATTACCCGTCTATATGTAGTACAGTTGTGTGTTTCTTAATCTAGTTAACTATAATTCTGGATATTTTACAAGACATATCATTAGGTGTTGAGGTTTTGAGCCACGCAGCTGAGCTCCAATATACAGTTCAGAAAGTCTGAGCCTCCGTTGACTGGATAACCCATCCTTTGAATATTTCCCACTTTTGTTTCACTTTCTCACCATAGCTTCAAGGTCCTTTCTGAAATGGCAGTTCTTAGCTCTTGGGAGTTTAAAGCAGTTTTACCTGTGCCTCTGAATAACTACTTAATTGAAACAGGTGAACTCTTGGATTTTAAAATGTGCAGCCATCATGGTCCATGGTACTAATCTAATCATTCTAGTCTTAGATGCCAGAGGGGAAGAGGTGGAGGCCTTTTCCTTAAAGCAGAAATGGTTTGGCTTATGCCCCTCATCATCAAAACTTGCTCTTCAAAGAGGGAAATTTTCCTTTGGGGGTTGATGTCTAATACTTCACATCTGAGTGTTCTGAGTGCTGTATTGTTAAAGCTCTATAGAAGTGGGAGAATTGAAGTGTTGTGAGGCATTTAGTGAAATTGATTGGGAAGAATAATCTAGCATTTGATTCCAAAACTATGCCACAATTTTAAAAGGGACTGTTTGGACACATTGAATAAAGTGATTGTGTATATGTGTATACAGGCCTTGGAAAAGATTGTTTATGTGAGTGTGAGAGGCCCTCTTAAGTTGGACAGCAGTAAAGAGATGAAAAATGACACCATCCCCAGCCCTCAGGAATACAGGTGAGCCCTAATGGACACAGTCATTGACATGACCAAGGCTGACCTCAGATATAATGTGAACCATTTCTAATGTTGGCACAAATGTGCTGATGGAGGCTCTCCTGGTGTGTGTTCCTTCCTCCACACTGTTCTCAGTTCATTACTGTTTTCAGCTAGCAAATGTGTCAAAATGTGGTTGACCAGTTTATATGGGGAGTTCTTAGAATGAGTACATGTGGAAGGCAGAAGAGAACTTGGACAATTAGCTTCCTGAAATTGAAACCTTGATTCTTATACTTGCTCAGCAAGAACTTTTACTGCATGACCAAACAAGGCCTGGGCTTTTAAGAGGCTTTTGAGCTATAGGTGGCAAGTTATGGAACTGGCTGGGCCCTTAGACAGACTTAGTGACATCTGCCTCAAAACTCATGTCTTTATTTTCAGATGAAGATAAATTGACAACAGAGGAGTCATGTGTGGCTGTTCCTAATGAAACCTTACCACACACTTGAAGGTGATGAGGGTGCTTCTCACATGGAAAAATTGGATTGGAGACCTCCGTGGTAGATCATACCTTTTTTATGAGTTTTCTTGTGGGTACCCCAGCAGCCATGACTGTCTTTAAAGCCTATGTTCCTTTATTAAGTTTAGTGGATCTCTTGAATCCTGTTCTTGTGCCGTAGGGCAGGAAAACGCCTCTATACAATAGCAGAGTTGTGTATTCTGGGGGGTTTATTTATTTGTGGAATTTTTAGTTTGTTTCTGTTGTTCTTTTTTATTTTATTTCATGTGCATTGGTGTGAGTTACAGACAGTTGTTTTAGCTACCATGTGGGTACTGGGAATTGAACCTGGGTCCTCTGGAAGACCAGCCAGTGCTCTTAACAGAGCCACATCTCCAGCCCCTTTTCCTTTGTTTTGTTTTGTTTATTTTTTTCTGAAAATAAAACTATGCAAAATAGAGAAGATGCCTTTTCATGTAGTCCTGCTCTCCTTGTAAAGTAACACTCAGGAAGCTGTGAGCTTTTCCTGGGTTGTATTGGAAGATCATGAGAAAAGCACTTGGCCTCTGTTTTGAACTCAGAATGCAGCCCTTTGAGTCCCCTTCAGCCAGCCAAAATTCATGTCACTGTTGCAGTTTATTGTAATAAGAACAAATGATGACATTTCGAAGTACCAAAATTGTTCTGGGAACAAAGTGGTCCCAATGGCCTGGGCTTTCAGCCCTATTTTCTTTATCCTTAGAGAAATAGCATCAGAGTTTGGAATTCTTTTCCTGAGGTGGAGCAGTTTCTGGTAGTTTTGTGTAGTAAGTGTTAAAGGTATAAGCAAAGACTCGTGCAGGCTAGCTAAGTCAAGCCATCAGAAAGGGCAAGTGTTGGCTGTATATCTCAATTACCTCTGCAACTCAAACCGACAATAGTCACTTCCTTGCAGTAGCTCAGAAGATGCAGCTTAATGAAAATATGGGTGGAACTCTTATGGCAAAAGGCTGCCTCCAGGGCTCCAGTGTTCTAATGTGTTCTCTGATAGTGAGAAAACACTTTGTCCTTGAGCCAGTATCTGGAAAACTACGGAAAACCAGAGTCATGAGAGCAGCAATTAAGGTTGCAGCTCTGCAGCCCCTCTGCCCTCCTAGGAAGACTGTACCAGGGAAGTACCCTTGCCCATCTGCTGTTGGAGCCTCTATCTCCCTCTATTAGGGGTCTTGAAAGGCTGGACAGAAAGCTTAACCATATCTTCTGGTTGTCCCACTATCTCTTATAACTTAAACTAGCCAGTTTCCATTAGTCTATAATTTGCCATATGGTTTTTTACCTCTTCTATTCTGGATGTCCAAATCCCTCTTTGTCTACCTGGTGTCTCCTGCATGCATAGATTTTTAACCCTCAGTTCCTCTCTACCCCTGGAAGTCCCACTACTCTCTCCTGCCTAGCTATTGGCCATTTAGCTCTTTATTAAACCAATCAGAAGGCACCTTAGGCACAGATACATCTTTGTGGTGTACAAAAAGTTTATCACATAACAGCCAACACAATCCCCCTAATCACAAGAATATTAAAATACACCCTTCTAACACCACCTCAGATCTGGGAGGAAAGGAACTTAAACTTTCCACTTTCCCAGTCATTTTATCAAAACTCTCGTGTTTCAGGGGTCAGGCTGCTGAGTGGCAACCTTGAATACACACACTCTTCCATTTGGTTACCCATTAGGAAAAAGCCTGCCTTCTGGGCCAGATTACTACAGCCACCTCCTTTTCTCCCTCAGTCTCCCCTCCTCCCACTTCCTTCTTCTACTCGCACACTTCTCACAGTCCACCCAGCTCCAAAGGAGAAAAAAGTTCTTCTGGGAATTCCTGATACTTCTCCACATACACATAACACCTATCTTTAACCAGACCTGGTCAACTGTGCTCAGGCTAACAAAGGAAGACAGTGTGAGACATTGTTCATGGAGCTCCCAAAACTCCGAGAGTTGGTGCTAAGTGTTTGTGACCAAGGCACCACGTACAAAAAAGGATTACTATGGACTCTTCTTTCCCACTCACAGGACCGAGTCTCTTTGTCAGATGACCTCCAAAGATGACCCATTTCCAAAAAACAGGTCAAGGCAGTTACCCTTTCTAGCATCTCTCATCTGGAAGTCCAATGCCTCTATTCTGTCTATCATCTCCAGAGCCTAGTCACTCCCTCTACTAGCATGTTCTACGTAAGGTCAAATCTCGGCTGGCTACTCAACTGTACACATGCAACTGTCTCCCAGTCCAGCTGTCCCTGTCTTCCATTGGGGCTATCGGAAGAAAGGAAAATGAAGAACAGAACCTTGAGGATTACTTGGGGGAACTCAAGAGGGACAAGGTTTTGAGGAGGCTCAAACAGACATCACTTAGCAAAGGAGGATGAAAACTGGGGCAGATAAGTGCCTGTCTTGTTTGCTGACACAAGAGTGTTCAGTCTAACACTGGTGACTATGGTCTAGGCCCTGTTCCAAATGATTATGATAGACATTGACGATTCCCCCATGGAAGGCCTCACCCTCCCTGGGGAACAGAAAGGGGTTGGGATGGGAGTGGGTAGGGGGGAGGGGAGAAGGGAGGGAGAGGGAACTGAGATTGACCTGTAAAAGAAGCTTGTTTCTAATTTAAATAAAAAAAAGTGTTCAGTCTAGCCAGCTTTCTTTCGAGCCTATTACAGCACCCTCTAACACAAACTTCCTGGGCTCCAAGGGCAACCTGTAATGTGGGATTGTCTTTTTCCTTGGGGGAAGTCCTTCTGTGTATATATGTTTCTCTTGTTGGTTAACGAATAAAACACTGTTAGCCAATAAGGCAGTAAGATAGTAGGACTAGGAGAAGATGAGAATTCTGGGAAAGGTAGGCAGAAACAGTTGCCATGTAGACCACAAAGGAGTAAGAGGTCCAGACCCTTCTCCAGTAAGATAAGACCACGTGGAAATACTTAGATTAATAGAAATGGATTAATAATTATGACAGAGCTAGCCAATAAGAAGCCCTGGTCATCGGCCAACAGTTTCATGATTAATATGGCATCTGTGTGTTTATTTGGAGCTTCAAGGGTCTCGGGGACCAGCCAGGACAGAAAGATGATGTAACAACAGTGTATTCTGAAGTCAGGCACTGAGATCTCAAATATAGAGCAGCAGGGACACTCACTCACTAAACAGGAAAATCTAAAACCACATTGTTTGGGGAAATATTTGTACCCTGTGTTGCTTCACTGGTAGATTTTCAAGATTCTGGCTGGGGATCCAGGTCCTAAATAAGGGTCCTGCTAGCTCTACCCACTCACAAGAGAGAGGTGGTGCCTCGTCTTTGGTTTAAGTCTGGCAACAGGTTAAGTGTAGCTTGTGAATAACACTTAGAATTTGGAAAAGGGTACTGGAGCTACCAGGCAGGTGCACTGTGGGTCTATCCACTGGGGTGATGGTGGAGGTGGTGGATGCCCAACTGCTTATAGTTCCTGGTGATACTCAAACTAAGGATCCTGTGTCAGTGAAGCCCATCCACTCCATCTTTATAGATGCGTGTGAGAGATTGGAGCTGCTGTGAGTTCACCATCTGCAGTTGGAAGCTGCTAGCCTGAGGTCCTCCATTTCAACTCTGCCCAGCTAGGGCAAGAAGCTAGTAAGACAGGGAGGTGGCATATTTAGTGTCCACCTGCAACCCTTCTGCATCTTCCTTAAACCTCAAGATCCTTGTTGGTCCACAAATCATGGTACCCCTGTAACCACTTTCAAGGAGCTCAGTAACCCTATGCTGGAGACACACTGGCTGTTGTTAGCTTCTTTGGCCCTTTCACATCTCCAAAATTCATGTGACTCACTGAGGTTCATAGCATAGAGCAGACACTATCTCAGATATGCTATATGCCTTTCTGGCCAATTCTTTATGAGAAGTACTGGCTATATATAAAAGATGTAAGTTATGTTACTGTATGGCATGGATCGCATTCAAAATCATGATGGGGAACCCACAGAGACAACTGACCTCAGCTTTTGGGAGCTCATGGTCTCTGGACTGACAGCCAGGAAGCCTGCATAGGACTGGCCAAGGCCCTCTGCATAGAAGTGATGGTTTTATAGCTTGGTTTGCTAATAGGGCCCCTAGCAGCAGGATCAGGACCTATGTGTCCCTGGCTCATTAGCTGACTTTTTGGAACCTGACTTTATATGCCATGCTTTGTTGACTCCCATGGGAGGTCTGCCCCTTTCTGAAAGGAGGGGGAGTGGATGGAAGGGAGGAGGAGGGATGAGAAGGGGGGGAAACTGTGGTTGTTATATAAAATAAATGAAAAAAATTAATAAATAAAAGCAAAAAAGAGAAAGTTTGTGTGTGTATTCTAATGTCTCCATCAATGTTTTGTTTGTTGTTGTTATTGTTTTAAATATGGCACAAGACAAAATGGGTAAATGGCCACCAGTCACCACTTGGCTGCCCCTATAACCAGACCTCAGAATATACCTCTGAGCTTTCTGATCACTGGATTCAGGTTAACAGAAGTTTTGATGTTTTTTGATACTCTATTTTATTGAATAGCAGTCTCTAGAGTTGGGGGTCTGGCTCTCTTCTCTAGATTCAAACATGTTTAAAAGCTTCCTTCGGTGTCCCATGTCAGACTATCCCCCTTTCACAAAGAGCAAAGCAGAGCAGCCAAAAAAATTAGACTTGGTTTATGTAAACATTCTACACCTCAAGATGTATAAGTTCATTTTATTGGGTTTGCTTAAAAATATGTAAAAACCTATAAAAAGGGTTAACTTAAAACTGGTAACATGTGGCTGATTATTAAAACTCTATACATAGACAATCTTAAGGAGAAAGTGAGCCATTCTGGCATATAAGCAACACATTGCCATTTTTGCTAGGGCTGGAGAAGATGGATGCCATGTAACTCCACCACCATCTTAATTAAAGGTGACCATGTGGAGTGGGAGTATCCAGGAGACAGCAATAGGTATCCAAGGTAATTTTTTATTAGAATGGATTTTTATGTGATAATCCTTGTCTTGTACTGAAAACAAAGTTTATAAATAAATCTCAGATATAAAATATTAAATAATCTACACCAGTAGAGCTTATTTTTACCTTGTGTTTCCCTTCTTGAAATAAAAATGGGTACCTTATTTTTGAGAGATCTTAAATCTTTAAGAGTAAATTTTAAAATTACAAAAAATAGTGGGAATATTTTAAGAAACAGCTTCTAAATATATTAAATATTTTAAAATAATTTAGTTTTTACATTCCAATCCCAGTTCTCCCTCCTCTTCCCCCACTCTGCTGCCTACTCTCCACCCCCACCTCCCATCTGCTCCTCCTAGAAAGTAAGGCCTCCCCTCGGAAGTCTACTAAGTCTGTCCCATCATCTCGTTGAGGCAGGACCAAGTTACCCCTCCTCCCCCGTCTCTAGGCTGAGCAAGGTATAGAAATATTTAGTATTTTAAGGCTATAAAACATCTTACATTCATAAAAGGTTTTATTATAATACATATGATCTTGACTAATAAGTAGCTCTAACAACAAGAAACACCAATTTCTGTTTCCAAAGCTCCTGCTTCCTTCTCAGTTCTCTTCCCATGTAAAATTCAGGCGACAAAGCTCATTTTCTAAGAGCTACTACTAGGTCTACTTGGAGTTTATCTTATATCTTATCTTATCAGATTCCAAAAAAAGAAGATAAACTCATGAAACAGATTTCACTGTAACTTTTTTTTACTATTCCCTCATTTAAAGAAACACGCTCGCCGGGCATTGGTGGTGCACGCCTTTAATCCCAGCACTTGGGAGGCAGAGGCAGGGGGATCTTTGGGAGTGCGAGGCCAGCTTGTTCTACAAGAGCATGTCCCAGGACAGCCTCCAAAGCCACAGAGAAACCCTGTCTCAAAAATCCAAAAAAAAAAAAAAAGTTATGAAGGTGTGTGAATACAACTTATTATGCTGTGTAAATGCAAGTTACAGAGGTCTGAGGACATCACAACCTGTGTTGTGAGGGTCTAAATTGGTGTTTTCAGATACTTGGATGGATGCCATTTGGAAAGTTATAAAGATGGCTTAAGGTATTAAAAATGTTTCAGATTTCTTTGGCCTTCTGTGCTTTTGTTACACTAAGTTTTCAAAATTTCAGAGTTCCAACATTAACCAGTGGACTTCTGACAAGCTATTAATCTAGCTCTAAAACTACTGACTACTTATTGGTCAGTCACAAGCTGAAGATTCTGAGTTTCCCTTGGTTGTCCTCTAATTATAGATTTGAAGGTTCTTCTCATGGACTAAAGGCATCTCTGTCTAATCTATAGCTGCCTCTCAAGATAGAAGAAAAATTGTGAGTGCATTTAAAACCCAAATTATATCTTTTGCTAGGACTCAAAAAATGGGTCTACTTCAGCTGTTTCATTTATTTATTTGCTTATTTATTTATTTTTGGGGTGGGGTTTTTCTGTGTAGCTTGGAGCTCGTCCTGGAACTAACTCTGTAGACCAGGCTGGCCTCAGAACCAACAGATCCGTCTGCCTCTCCCTTCCAAGAGCTGTGATTGAAAGGTGTGCACCACCACCACCCAGCAACTTCAGGTGTTTTGTACAAACAAACTTGTTTTCTACAATGTGGATTTCAATACATTGGTAATGCTAGCATATCTAAAACTTTTATCTCCTATGGAGAACTAATTTTCATATAAGCTTCAAGGAATCAAAATCATAAGGCTTGGATCCACTTGTCTACAGATCAAAAAATAAGTTTTTCAAATCTAAGAGTATTCTTGAACTCCTAAACTTTATTTAATTTATTTATTTGTTTTTTGGTTGTTAGAGACAGTGTTTCTCTGTGTCACTTTGAAGCTTGTCCTTGCACTTGCTCTGTAGACCAGGCTGGTCTCAAACTCACAGAGATCCACCTGCCTCTGCCTCTGCCTCTGCCTCTGCCTCTGCCTCTGGAGTGCTGGGATTAAAAGTGTGCATCACATGGGATTGGGCATGAGGATACTGTAATAGGTTTAGTATGAAATTGACATAAAGAAGGCAGCTAGGGAGATTTTACAATTGGCATCTAGATAAAATATTCTGTGGAAGAGTCTACTGGCTCCAAGGATCATTACTAATGTTAAGTAAGGTTGCAAAGCTCTATGGTCTACCAGATATTTGACCTTGGATGCTAAAAGGAGATTCTTCTGCCCTACAGCAGATGGTGTTCCTGTTTCTCTCATCTCCTGCTCTTCTCTGCTTTTCAATCTCAGCAGCTCAGCCACCACTGTGACTACAACAGATGCATCATCTGGCTGGAGACTTCATAGACAGACTGAATCAGACAATGGCATCCAGGACTGACAGCTTTGAAACCCTCTGGTGGCAGATGTACTCCCTTGCCAGGGTCGTCCTCCAAAACAGAATATCCCTGATCTAATAACTGCTGAGCATGGGATGCAGGGATTTTCCTGGTATTGGGGGAAGAATGCTGCCATATATAAATGAGTCAAACATTGTTGAAACTCATGTTAATGCCCCAAGAAACACTGAAAAGACCTACTTTCAAGATTCCA